GACAGTTTGTTTGTGCTCTGAGTGGCGAGGAACGAGCATGAGGTGGGGGGGGGGGGGGGGGGGGGCCCTTAATCTTACGAAGACATCTTTTCAATTGATCAATCACTTTCTCATAAAAAAAAAACTACTGAATTATGGATTATCTCTGTCATGCTGGTTCTCTAGACACGAAAAGTAATATTATCCTGAAGATTTTGAGATTAAAATGTTGATATGCATTAAAAGGGCTCTATATCCTGCAAAAAAACTATTTGAAAACAATAGCTACTAATTTCTACGTAAGTCGATATATTTGTTTGAAAAACTAGCATATGAAAATCTAAGAATATTCGTCATAGTCATATTTGAAATCAGCTTTGTTGATAACTTTCATTACACTAGTTTTCGATGAGAAACCAATTGATCAGTTGAAAACTTTCCCTTATTATTGCATATCGAATGACAAAATTTTGTCTGTGTCAATCAATTTGTTCGGATTAGTTTCCTGCAACTTCACAGAATAACTGATACATGAATTCAAATATAAATGCGTCGAGTCGGTTCAGGTATAAGATCATGTCTAGATCTAACTATCATGTCCTAGGAATAAGTGACCAAGTGCATGAAAAATTCGTTTTTCATAACTCGTAAAATGTTACTAATTTTTGTTGAAATCAGTTATATTACTTAAAAGGCAATTTTTGAGAATGTTTCTTTAATAAATATAAACTATGAACACTTGTTTATTAGCAGTAAAAATATCAGCTCTTATGGTCCAAAATATGGCGAAGATATTCAAAATTTTCTTTGTTTAGTAATACTGAAGAAGTTTTAAATTCAAGAAGATAATCATTGACTAGTCAATCACTTTCTTATGAAGTTTCATATAATTTCTTTTCTTTTTTATTGTTATTTATCTATCTGATTAAATCGAATTGTTTTTTTTTTAAAGACACACATATAAAACATTTTATCATCAGATATTACGTATTAGAAAAATTTAGCAAATCGATTGCGATTACAAAAAAGTTGTACTCATATGTAACTTTTATTTCAGTCAAAAGGTCTTTGTTTTATTACAACATTAAATCAAACAGTAGCTTCTTATTGTCTTGGTATTATTGCTGCTGAATATATTCTTCAAATAGTTCCACCTGGAACACATACATGGAATAAATTTATTCGTCCATCAGATTTAATAACTATATTTGAAAAAAGTAAGACGAGTATTTTTCTTTTTAAATGTATTCTTTTTACTTTATTTTTGTTTTAGATGGTTTTACTGTTGTTCTAAACACTGGAATGTTTTATAATCCAATTACAAATCGATGGTCATGGTCAGAAAATCAAGCAATTAATTATGCATTATGTGCAGCAAAAAATTAAATTGTTTGTTTATTTATCCTATTTTTCCATCATTATTGAATTTATGAAATTAAAAAAATAAATTTTTCTAGCCCTTAAGAGGGCTGTTTGGGTTTTCTTTTCTTGTCTATTTAATTTATGAACCAAAACCATATAATGTACGTCCTTGTCGTTTAAGTGCATAAACAACATCCATAGCTGTAACAGTTTTTCGTTTAGCATGTTCAGTATAAGTAACAGCATCACGAATAACATTTTCTAAGAATATTTTTAATACACCACGTACTTCTTCATAGATAAGACCACTTATACGTTTAACACCACCACGTCTTGCTAATCGACGAATAGCTGGTTTTGTTATACCTTGAATATTATCACGAAGTACTTTACGATGACGTTTAGCACCACCTTTGCCTAAGCCTTTACCACCTTTACCTCGTCCAGACATTTTTTTTTTATTCAAATAAAACTTTTATTTTTTTTTTGTGTGAATAGAAAAGAAAAAGAATAACATATGATCATTAGACAATATTAAACATTCATTTTATACTGATATGGAAAACATTTACTCGTTGGTCAGTTAAAGATTGTTGTTTACTGACCAATAAAAATTGAGATATGAATAATCAGCTGTTTAAGTGCAATATATTGCATGTGTGAACTATATAGAATATATATTCTTTTGTATATAACAATATGTCTTATTTTAACAAAGAAAATGATATTGCTAATAGGAACGTTCAAATGTTATGTAAACATTGAAATCAATCAGTGATTTTTCGACCGTTTCTTACAAAAGTTAACATTCATGTTAACGAAATATCACAGAAATAAAGGCAAGATTTCACATATCGAGAATATCTTTCCTATTCATTCTTTAGCCATCCTAGAAAGCACATAAAAGTGAACTCGGTTGGTATACAAAGGTTCTTTTTTTGAACGGCATTCAAAATGAAAGTATATCTATTTGAAAAATCATCAGTCAATAAAATTCTAGTCTTCATTGCCGGAATATAAAAATAGTTACTAGAGTTTTGAAAACTTTCCGTATACAAGAAGTGAAAGATCTATTCTTGTCTCTACATTCGAGTTTTTATCTCAAAATAGAAGCCCATCAAATGACTTGATACTTTCACGATTAGTTATTCTTGTTAAGATTTGTTTCTATGCAAAGTTTCAAGTCGAAAAGAACAATAACATTTTATTGAAAATTCATCATAAAATATTGCAAATTTTCAGTTCCAATTAACACATCTCTATGGAACTATTATCTTTTTTTCAAATGATGATTATTTTTCCTGTCATATGTAAAATAATTTCTCAATAACCATTGATTTCATTCTCTCATTTTCAAGATCATCTAAAACATTTTGAATAATAACCAATCACATTGAATTATTCAGATTTTATTTCTACGTCAAAAGATTATGTTTTAACACGAATATCAACATTTGTGAATATACAAAAAAAGAAGTTAGTAGCCCTAAAGAGGGCTGTTTGGGTTTATTTTGTATTAATTTGTTAATTAATGCATCATTCAATTTTTATTTAGCACTTGTATATTTAGTAACAGCTTTTGTACCTTCTGATACAGCATGTTTAGCAAGTTCACCAGGTAATAAAAGTCGAACAGCTGTTTGAATTTCGCGACTGCTAATTGTTGATCGTTTATTATAATGTGATAAACGACTTGATTCAGCAGCAATACGTTCAAAAATATCATTGACAAATGAATTCATGATTGACATGGCTTTCGATGAAATACCTGTATCTGGATGAACTTGTTTAAGTACTTTGTAAATATAAATTGAATAGGTTTCTTTTCGTTTGCGTCTGTGTTTTTTTTCGGTACCTTTGGTACCAGACGAACCTTTTGATGTTTTTGTAACAGCTTTTTTTGAACCCTTCGATGGTGTTTTTGGTGGCATGTTGAGAAAATATGAATGATCGATATGAAGAAGAAATATGTAGTTTTTATTTCTATTCCTTTATTTATATATACACATATATGTGTGTCTATGGTTTGTTAGTTAAACGACCAATCATTAGTGTTGTTATTTGATTGGTTAAAAAAGTTGTTCATTACATAGGCATATATATAGCTAAGTTCAAACATCTATTATATTCATTAATTCTCTACATTTTCGTCAAGTAAAAAACAAATCAAGACACAATGTCAGGACGTGGAAAAACTGCAGGAAGTGGTAAAGCACGAGCCAAAGCTAAAACTCGTTCATCCAGAGCTGGTCTTCAATTTCCAGTTGTAAGTTATATCTTAACAAAAAAAAGATTCTTTTTTTCAATCATTTTTCTACTTTATAGGGTCGTATTCATCGTCTTCTTCGACGTGGTAATTATGCCGAACGTGTCGGTGCTGGTGCACCAGTTTATTTAGGTGCTGTACTTGAATACTTATCGGCTGAAATTCTTGAATTAGCTGGTAATGCTGCACGTGATAATAAGAAGACACGTATCATTCCCCGTCATCTTCAATTAGCCATCCGTAACGATGAAGAATTGAACAAATTATTATCAGGTGTTACCATTGCTCAAGGTGGTGTCTTGCCTAATATTCAAGCTATTCTTTTACCAAAAAAGACAGCTGAAGGTGGCGTTGTATCAACACCACGTGAAACAACAAGTGGTGCTGGTCCAAGCAAAAAGAAACCAGCTGGTGATAAAGGTGAAAAATCAACACCATCATCAGGAAGCAAAGCTGCTGAAAAAGCTTAAATATGCTTGACTTAATAAAAAATTAATAACCTCAAGAACATATCTAAAAACCCAACAGCCCTCTTTAGGGCTACTATTTTCTAAATTCATAAATGTTGGATTTACGGACTTAAACAAATGAATAGATGTTGTTTTTAATTGTAAATAAATAAAATAAAATAAAAAATATTTGTTTTCAATGTCATACACAAAGCGATAAAATCCGAGAGAGCAAAGCGTTATATTTAGAAGAATTTATATTTAATGAAATAGCCAATAGGAAAAGCTTGAAGTTATACATGTTCGATGATGATTTTCTTCTGACATATTGATGAATATTTGTTTATATAATAAGGACAATGTTAGATCAATAGAGTAGTATCTCGGTTATTTGACATTTTCATTATAAGTTTAGATTTCAATGTATTATATTGAATTTGAACGAAAAGAGAAAATCCTATGTACACAGTCTGATATAATTAAGTTATTAAAAGTAAATCGTTTGATGACATCTTGTTATATATCATTGGAAAACATACAAAGGAAACGAAACCAAATGATTCACAATACATATGGACCAATCAAAATGAATTCTATAATATAGTTTGTTTTGCATAAGATGTATTATCGAATTTTATTGAAAAAAAAAATCCTCTTGACTTATTCTTGTGTATTTTTATTAAACGAAAACATATGTGAAATATTGTCATCTAGCAAAAATCTTTGTTTATAATGCCTATTTTAGATTAAATTTTCGCACAAAAAAATTCATCAAAAAATTTAAGTTTTGAAAATAATACTTTTGACTGATACTAATCGATTGTTAGTAGATCAATAGAAAAATTGCATGAGATATTTCAACTTCTAAGCTTCATATGTGACAAGTTTAAAAAAAACTTCTTTTTTTCAATACAATGATGTTAACATGAAAATTCAAAGTCATCAAAAGTGAACGATTGATAATTATACTCTTCAGTTTTTATGAATAGTCTATTCAAAAATAAAGGTGAAACTGTAGAGATATATATACAAAATGGACTATATTGTAAGCGTTGTGAGACACTCGGTACATATCTATTTGTCGTTCTCAAGTTGTGTAAGTAGGCGAGAGCTAGAGAAGAAAAAATCAAACATAATCTTTTTCGAAAATGAATAAATGATTGACATTTGTATTATTTTTTTCTTTAATGATATGCAACTTTATCATAAACGAAAAATCAATTTTTAGAATTGTAAAAAATATTTTAGAAAAAGTTTTAATGAATTTTTCAATAGTATAGAAAAATTTCCTAAATTAAAATGTATTTGACTATCTCTGTTATATTTAGATTAGATAAATGCACCGTTATATCGAAAAATGAAAATATTCTTATCACATATCTGATTTTATTGATTTATTTTTTACATTATTATCATTTGACTACAAGTAACGAATCTAGAAAGAAAATTTTAATATTCATGAAAATGTACGCTGTTTACTAATAACATGTGATGCAAAAGTCTTTAGACTATCATATTGCTAACTTCTAAATCGGTCAAAGCTTTTTTTTTTTAATTGGAAAGAGCAATGTCTGAAATAAAAATTTTCTATCCGACTTTTGTCGGGAACGAATTTATGAAGCAGAATAAGTCAAAAATTAAACATCTCTGAAAAAGTTCTTGCAACTTTACCTTCGTACAATATCATTTCCTCTTTTCTGTTCATTTTATGAAACTTACATATATTTTCGAAGAAAATAGTGAGTGTAAATTTTTAAGGTCAAGTTTTTGCGGCTAAGCAATCGACAATAATAGACGTTAAATTTTCAAGAGTTTTTTTTTTTGCAAATTGATCAAATTATAATTTTGAAAAATAATGAACATCATTATTTGTAAGTTGATTAATGTATATGATAGTGAGTAAGATCTGCTGTAGACATCATGAATATGTAAAACAGATTTATTTGGCAATTTTATTTCAATAATCATAATAATAAGAATATTAAATTAAGAAAAACGAATTTAAAAAAATAATGAGCGAATAACAACAAAAAATAGGACGCCCGTAAAAAGAAATAAAAGAATTCTCTCCGACATGGAAAAATTAGAGAGGTTCTTATTTCATTGATTGATTATCCTGCAAAAAAGAATTGTAATCTACGAGAGATTTTTCACGTCACGTTTTTTTGTATTAGGTTAATGAGCGTAGAGAGTATATGTGATTTCCACATTTCAGCCCCAGTAGGGCTGCGCTAACAAGCTTTTTTTTTACATAACGAAGAAAATGTAAACACAAGTTTAAAGATGATTTTTTAGCACAAATGAACGCTCTTTCCAATGGTGTACTAGAAGTTATATTTTGTCTTGTTTTTTTTAGACAAATATAGCTGATATTAGAATTGTGAGAATATGATTTTATATTTTTCAATTTGTTTGTATAGACTTTTGTTTCTCACTTGCCAAACTAAATGACTTCCTAAATTAATTATGATCACAGAGCAAAACTAAAATTCCTTCAAGAAATAGGATAGATTCAATGGTTGTTTTTGATGAAATCTTCATCTTCCAAATAAGATCAAAATATTTATCAAATAATTGTATATTTAAGTAACTGTCTCAGAGATCTCTATCCATATGAAGCCATTTCGAAGTTCGATATTTTTTAAATAAATTCAAATTATATAATATCCTTTTTTTGTCTCATGGTACGAAATTACTATTTTTATTTAAGAAAATAATGAATATGCTTTTATATTA